AATGGCTCAGCGGAAAACCTGAAGGCTTATAACGCCAAAAAACCGGGTTCTGATGCCCGTGTTGGGCACAGCACTGATAGCCCATGCTTAACTACAGACCAACAAACAAAGCATTCACGTAAATGATATCAAGTCTTGCTCTGTACGTTCTCTGTCATGTAATGTACGTTCTTATCACTCTTAATTATGAAGGTAATAAAACCGTTTATTTATACGATAATGCACACAAACAGACAGACGAACGTGCCAAAAGGAGACGGAAAACTGGAAGAAGAATGCTGGAGGATAAAACGTCCACACAAGAAGAATGCTGGAGGATAAAACGTCCACACAAGAAGAATGCTGGAGGATAAAACGTCCACACAAGAAAAAAATGTCGGATATTGCAGTTTGAAAATGTAGGAAACGTTAAATTTATAAACACGATAATTTAATATATATATATATAAAGTAAATTAAAATAAGCTTCCCTTAAGTAACATGTGCTTTCACGTTAAAACCCAGTTTTGATTGTAAATGTTTTATAATAACATCAAAGACCGAGCTGATCAGGGAAGTATAGCTATTGGTTAACATAAATAATTAAGTGGTATAAAAGTATAGCTATTGGTTAAAATAAACAATTAAGTAGTATAAAAGTATAGCTATTGGTTAAAATAAATAATTAAGTAGTATAAAAGTATAGCTATTGGTTAAAATAAATAATTAAGTAGTATAAAAGTATAGCTATTGGTTAAAATAAATAATTAAGTAGTATAAAAGTATAGCTATTGGTTAAAATAAATAATTAAGTAGTATAAAAGTATAGCTATTGGTTAAAATAAATAATTAAGTAGTATAAAAGTATAGCTATTGGTTAAAACAAATAATTAAGAATACTATACGTACACGTATACTCGTTTATGTGTGTAACTGAATAGGGCGGGAAAAAGAGGAACGAATGGGATAAGAATTTGTGAGATATACATATCATTTGTGATATATTTTTGTTATTTTAAGTAAAGAGATCTAAAATATTAATCAGCTTATATCTCTACATTTTTTGTTGTTGTTGTTTGTTATTAAGGACAAAGCTACACAATGGGCTATCTGTGCTCTGCCCATCACGGGTGTCGAAACCCGGTTTCTAGCGTCGTAAGTCCGCCAAAAGAAGCATTTCTTTTCTTTAACGCACGTGGTTAAGTTTCCGACATCGAATTAAAAAAGAGACAAAGTTCTGGAAACCAAATAACAAAAACTAGAAAATAAGGATCTGAAAACACGTAGGAAAAGTCAGAGACTCGGAATTTTCCACACTTATAAGGATTTTTCTTACTTTCAAGAAACCCATAAAAGCGTTTACGACCGATCGTTAAGCAGTAACAACATAATTACAGTTTTAATAAACTCCCAGGGCCTTCTCAAACAGTTTTTCAAATGCAGACACTCAAGTGAATTTTTCTAATACATATTTCGAAAATTAAATTAATATGTTTTTGTTTACGTCTTAAAGAACCAACCAAGAAAACCCAGGATCGAATCCTAGCTACTATCACCACAAACACGGTTCTTCTTAGGACTTCCCTAAAGACAGATTCGTAGTTAGTGATTATTATCTAGTAATTAAAAAATATACTAACAACGACAACGATAAATACTCAATCACCAGTAGATTAGGATAGGGTGATAAAACAACATGATATTTTTTGAATAACTAAAATTATCATACCAAGATCATAAAATTATAAAACCACTTGCGGTAATCGCTTTATTTCCTTACTTTGGGCTGGATGTAACCTATTATTTTGTCTGCCGGTCTGTGTACCTGAAAGTCCAAGGTTCCCTCCTCGATATCTCAAAACACGTTCCACACTTTCAGATGTATTATAAGAGTGGCAATCATTCATGTTATTCGGTTCAAAACCTGTGAGCTGTTGACTGACTGACTTCCTTCTGGTCAGTAAATCAAAATTAGGAACGGCTATACCTGAATCCCCAGGGTTTTAGGAACGGCTATACCTGAATTCTCGTGGTTTTAGAAACGGCTCTACCTGAATCCCCGGGGTTTTAGGAAGGCTATACCTGAATCCTCCGGGGTTTTAGGAACGGCTATACCTAAATTCTCGGGGTTTTACGAACGGCTCTAACTAAATCCCCGGGGTTTTAGGAACGGCTATACATGAATCCTGAAGTTTGTTTGTTTGTTTGAAGTTAAGCACAAAGCTACTGCTGTCTGGTTCCCTCCATCTGTTCTGACAGCGTGTATTGCTGCTGTCTGGTTCCCTCCATCTGTTCTGACAGCGTGTATTGCTGTCTGGTTCCCTCCATCTGTTCTGACAGCGTGTATTGCTGCTGTCTGGTTTCC